GAATCATGCTACTTAACTGGTATATTTTAGATTAAATAATAACAATGACTCAATGTTTTAAATGTAATTTTATACTAGAAAGAATGCAAACATGAGATTTTCATGAAGTCAATTTTTTCAATTATGTATAGCATAATTTTTGAATGCAACGCTCTCATCCATTTTATTCCCATGCTAGTTGTCGAGACGTCATGGTGTTGCTGACCAAACGGGCTGCGAACAATTCAGATTTTAATCGCCTCTTACGACAGGCATGCCTTACCTCGAGCATATTCTAACCCCTAACCTGCAGAGGTCAAAAACTATAACTATAGATAAACTTCACACTTATGCGAAATCCAGGACTAGGTTTTTATTATGTAGACATGATCGGTTTCTCTATATATATGTGCTTATGTATGATACATCTACTGTTCTTTTTCAATAAAAATTCTTGCACTATAATGTTATTGATTACAGAATAGAAATAAGTTCTTTGTTCTAATCAACTGTAGTGAATTAATTTAATTTGAGTATGTAGAATAGTCATTACATCATTTTGTAAAGGAAATCATTTTTATTAAAGCCGATATATAAAAGACCAAAATCTAAGTAAAATTTTTAAGCAAATTCCTAATTACATATAGGCATACATTAACATAGTAGAACAAGTAGAACGGTTGCATCTATGTTAATGAAAAGGAGTGTAACTACATATATACCTTAACAATGTGCTTGAATTTGTATATAACATTATAAAAATAATACATAATATTTTAAAACAATTGCTGGGACTGAAAACTTTCAGCACCTGAATTAGAAGTAAACATAAGTGCACCCTTCGTAAAATAAAACCTTAAAGATTCGAAAAAATTATGAAAGATTGAATCAGAATTTGGTTTTTAAAATGCTTCCAAAATGTGTAATGTATAATATTATTAATCAAATGTTTAGTTTAACCTGACCTAACCATAACTACTTCTCTCCGTAATGCAAAAGCGGTTCCGAAGATGAATAAATCTTTCCAAAGAGTTGGAGTATTCTTGGAAGAAGTGCGTTAGAAGAATCTTTTAGTTGTTATTGGACAAATTAATGTAAAATGTAAAATAGTTCCTACTCTTAGACAATACAACTTCTATAGGCTCTTTTAGTTACCTCAAACATGTATGCCGTTTTCATATCAACCATCCATTACACATTGTGTATATAATTACTTGGTCCAATAAACTAATAAATTACAACAGGATAAACACATTTTTAAATGTAGTATATAAATGATGTGTAAGGTAATATAGAATGTATTTTGTGTGCATTCATTTAATTCCGAAAATGATTACTTCAGCCAGTTTACTCATGAAAAGATATCTAAACTCAAGGTGTTAAGGAATAGTCTGCTTAAGAATACAGCAAGTAGCTTTAGAGGCCAACTGCTAGAAAGCAATGCGTGATTAAAGAAAAGTGGATTTATAACGAATGTTCAAAAGTAATAAAATATGGACAGACTCAAAAACAAAAAAAATTTTTCACAATAACTGACAAAAAAATTAAAGTTTTTCTGCAAAAATAAATAAATGTTTGCTAACAAAAGCAGTTTTAAATTAAAGGATATAGGTAAAGGATAAAGATTTTGGGTCAATTGGGTAATGAACACTAACTCTAAGCGTCAAATTTAGAACGGTACGAGTTCAACCTTTGGTAGTTGTAATTCACAAAGAATTATTTAGGAATAATTAAATATAAGAAATAATTCCAAAACCACTGATGATGAGTATTTTGCAATATTCGAAACAGCCTTTATAGTTAGCCAAAAATTTAATTATTTAAAATATTAAAAATTATTTGTTGTTGTAGTTTACTAGTGTTCGAAACCTGTCAATTAATATACAATAATTTCTTTTAAGTAATATAGTCACTAAAATCATAACTGATATTGAAATGAAATTTAATAAAATTTTAAATTAACTGGTATATAAAAACTTGAGAAGTGTTTCTACAAAACTTTTTAAGTAAACTTTTTTCTAACACCAAGTATCTTAATACTCCATTATTTCGATACGTATTTTTTATATTTTTTATATTAGTCTCAGGAAACATATCTACACTGTTCAAAAACTTTTCAAAAAACACATTTTGCGTGACTTCACAAGTTTTTTTAAATAAAAATATTTTATGGTATTTAATCATATCCTACACTAGTATTTTGTTAAAATAGTAATTCAACATAGTAGAACAAAGTACAAGTTCCTTTGTACATATTTATTTCAACATAATGTTAAACATATCACATGTTACAAAAACCAATCCTTGAATCCTTGTAGTGACGTTTTTGTTATGAACACAAAATGAAGAATTGAGATACTTTTGCTTCATAAGCAGCTGTGAATATTTTCAAGCTATTTATAATACACTTGGAAACTTATCGGCACTGCAACTGTATTTTGTTAAACCAATATTACATGTGTTCTATATGTTTACTTCAAACTTGTCAACAACAATTTTTCTTTTCAAAATATCAACAATTTCTATTCTAAGAAATCTTACACATAGTATGTGGTAATGGATGAAAATTGAGATAAATAATCATTATTAAATTATTAAAAAATTTTCTATTTATTATTTCTGAGCAATCATTTTTATGATAGTAATGGATGAAAATTGAAATAAATAATTATTATGAAATTATTTAAACTAAAATTGTATTCAGTGCTAAAAGTAGTGCAGTTATACAAATGAAATGATATAAATTTTTTTTTATGTATACAATATTATATATTTATCATAAAAATAATTTCAATAGAATTTTAATCAACTACAAAGCAAAACTTTCATCACTTCTTCATAATTACTAAAAATTTGATATGAAAACTGAATCGTACTTACTTGGATTGTTGTTGAAACTGAAGGCACACAGCATTTGCTTGTATGATGACAACGTCCACATAGTTTGGGACGATATAATTTCCTTGAAACACATGAACCCAAGCGTATACGTGCTGGTCCCAAGCGCTGTATACTCCGACATTCGTGTCCTTTCTACATTGAGCGAATGTAGAAGGGAATGCACAAGAATTATTTCAAATAGAAGAAAGTTACACATTAGAAATGAAAATTAGAATTACAATCGAAAATTTTGTTAAAATTTTTAACCCAAAAGCTCAAATCCCAAAAGATGCTAACTTATTTCTCTTTTGGTAACCCAAAATTCAACTGTGTATTTCATTTACGTTATTGTGCTAATTTTATTTATTTATTTTTTGTTTTTTATTTATTGTTTTTATTTTTTTGTTCAAGTTTAAAGTCAAAAAGTTCAGAAAAGAGCAATTTAAATACAACAAATGAATCCTTTTTAGAATGGATTTATTTTCTGAAAAATACAAAAGCTCTAAGCAGCAATGGCACAATCCAACAAGGGAGCATTTCATCACATTGTGTGAAAATCTAATATAAAACTTATAAACTAAATTGTGTGTTATTTTAGGATTTACTCACCCGGATTCGGTGCTCCTGTTCGTGCAATAGCTGTGCTGCTATTTGATAATTATCCTTAATATTCTTATGTTGACTGCTACTTATATATTTAGACTCACTACTGCTACTTAATTGTTTGTTTAATGCTATTAAATTGTTTTTATTGTCGAGATCACATTTGCGATTTTCACAAAGTCGCAGATTGCTTAATTGATTACAGCCTGCTGTGGTGCTTGTGAAACGCGTTGATACGCCCATGCCGCAGTTTTGTGAACATGGCGTCCATGGGCTGGTTGAGGAATTGTGGCAGGTGGCATAGACTACAATGACAGTCAATAGAAACGTAATTAGTTAGATATAATATACTTTATAAAAATAAAGTTCATTATATTTCGTTTTTCAATAACATAAAAGTTATGAGGATTAAAAATATTAACAACCTTTTAAATAACACAAAATTTAGTAATATTTTCTTGATTATATTATTAATGTGCTAATATAGTAACTGTATATTAATATACTATTGCAGCAAATTTCAAAATTTAAGAAATAAAATTAACACGTGCATCATATGTTAAATATACGAATTCATATTAAAGTTGCGTTATGGCCAATGCACGGTTAAACTATGGTCGCTGGTTGCTGTAACAGACAACTTAACCTATAATCTTAACTATTGGATTATTGGATATTTATTATTAATTTTATTTCTCTTTATTTCATACAACGTAACATAACTTAACCAAATGCGAACTTCAAACTAATAATTGCTACTATTATAAATAAATTAAATAAACATAACCAATCCCTTTTAATCATGACTGCCGCCCATCTACTCTTATCGTCCTGAAAATAATAAGTGAAGATGCTTAATAAATTAAGCATTGTAATTAGTTGAAAATATATAAGGAATAATGAATTTAAATGAAGATGAGCTACTTTTCTTAAGTAAAAAATATTTGTTCAAAGCTATATTTTTTTATAGTTCCTGAGGATGAACGTTGTGATTAATTTAAGTAAAATATTAAATATACACGAAAAAAGTAAAATAATTCTAAGGTAATGAAGTACCTCACAAAAAACATTAAAACTAAATTAAAAATACTTGGAAAGTTTGTGCAGTCTTGACTACTTGTGGAAAAAACACGACTAATCATCGCTTCTAACTTCACAGGCATGAATTCTAAGCCTGGCATTTCCAGTTCAAATAAATTACATACGGACTATAAATTAATTAAAAAATTTGAATATTTGCTAACAATACTGATGATGAGTACTTGGCAATACTCGAAACAGCGTATGGTCAGCTAAACTTCAATAAATTGACTAAAAATGTTTGTTGTTGTCTTTTCATTTATATTCGAACCCTTCTGACTTTTAATTGAAAATGTTTGTAAAAATTTAAATAAAATAATAAGAAGTTCCATAAATTATTGATTTCATTAGACTCACATTATTAAATACTGAATATTTGATTTTTATTTTTTGGTGTGGGAAATATATGGATAATACTAAAGTATATAGAGCAAATTTCAATTTTTAATCTTAACTACATGAAAAAAAAGATTTTTGGTAAAGTAAAGAAAAGTTGAATAAAATTATTGATTTTATTGGATTCACATTATTCAATAATGTGAAATACTAAGAATTTTATTTTTATTTCTTATTATGGAAAATACATGAATTATAGTAAGTATATTAAGCAAATTTCAAAGCTTACTACATGATAAAAAAAGATTTTTGATGAACTAACACCATTTTCGTACTATATAGCTTATTTAAGATGCCAAGTGATTTATTTTGTAGAACAAAAAAATTATAATCTCAAAACGATTTTATGGGCCATTAGAATTTTATGGACTCCCAAAGCATCATATAATCAACATCGAATCATTAAAAAACCAATATATTTTGAACATGATTTTTATAATGTTTCCTTAACGAGTCGTTAATCTTTCGCTTGTTGTGATAAAAATAAAATTTATAAACGCAATCATAAATTTTTTTCCCAAACACCAGAAAATAAAAGAACTTTAGGTAATATAAGAAATATTTGCACACTTCATTGTTGCTGATTTGTAATTATTTTGCTTATATCTAAAAATATATATATATTTCTTATTGCACACTTAATTAACACTTTATTCCTTTCTGTGTAGTAATAATTACTAAGCGAAGTGAAATGAAAATGATTCGCACTCGTATAAATTCTGTGCTAATTCTCCTTAAAAATCATTAGGTTGCACTCGAGCACCACTACAGATAAATATACTCATGCACGATTACTAAATTAAGGACACCACTGCACATAGTGATTATTTTTATATATATTTTTTATACTTTTTGTATGTCTGGCACTTACCATCAGCTGTCGGATTCTCACACAGCCACATTTTACAGCAATGGCCTGGTACCTCAACCATTCGAGGTGATCTGCATGAAATTGTATCCTCCGGTGCCGGAAGCTGTTCTTTCGGACACAACGATGAGCAAGCATGACGGCCATTCTGCGAAACGGTACACAGAAACAACACAAAAAAATAAATAATATTAATAAAAATGAAGTGAAGTACAAAATGTGCTATGTGAGCAAGTGTAAGGCAAAAACAACATTGAAGTGTAAATAAAATAAAATTACCAAAATAAAGTCAACATTGTATAAGGACTTGTAGCAAAAGCATTATATAACCACTTTCCAACGCTTCTGCGGCCATATTTGTTGCTATAACACAGCAACAAATGAAAACACAAATAAAAGCAACATTACCAGGAGTTGCCATACTCACAAAACAAGGACGACCATTGTTACTGCTGAATTATTTGCTTATCTTATTCCACTGGTACCGTTTCTTCACTCGGTATTTTCCAATTTTTTATACACTCCAAAAAAGAAACTCAATTTACGATTTAAATGAAATTGTGGCGAATAAATCGCAAAACAAGAAACCTATGAAGGTTTTAAGATGAGGAGCTTTTGCTTAGAAGGTGAAAAATGCGCATTTGAAAAGTGCATGGATTAAGTTTGCTTCAAACGCAACAGGGGGAAAAACAGAACAAACTGATTACAATTTCAAAATCTTTTCAGGTGTGGAGGTAACGATTTCAGTTAAGATATTATATATTTAAATTGGAAGTATTGTGATAAGTGCTTCAGTTAAGATTTGGAAAAATCTTGGCCTTATTTTTTTCTTTATTGATATTCTTTCAATTGTTATGAGATATGAGATTGGGCATGTGCTTAGTGCGAGACAACTCACTTATTTTGCACTATTTTATTAACTTAGTAATATTCTTATTAAAAAAGAAAATAAGGAATATGATGCCTACCCATCTACTTCTTTATTTCAATTTGTCACCAAAGTGCATGTAAAAAAATTAAAAACTTTCTGAGATTAGAACCACCTCTTGTAATATCAGAATATTTAATGCATGATAATATCTTGAAATAAAAACAAATTTTATATTCTTATATAGATGGGCTATATTTCTTATTAGGTATTATATTTCTTTCGGTATGCATCAATTACCTTGATATTTGTTGATAATTGCCCTAGCTGTTTCAATATGAAAAAGTGAAGCACTAAAGATATGTTCTAGGATAGGAGTATTGGAAAAATCACAGGATAGAACAGGAGACTAGTGTAATGAGAAAACGCAAATCTTTGCAATACTTGAGCGAAATTTATTAAAGTTGTATTGGAATGAATCTCGAATAAAATTATCAAAAGATT